TGTTGCATATTATTTCCTAGATATCTCAATGCATATTCATGTTATAATAGAGTATAAATCCATCTTTGCTGAACCCATTCTGCGTTCTCAGGGTATGTTTACCCTTCTATTCAGCGTATTGACCGAAGCTTTAATGATCTATTCAATGGCTTATGTTTTGGTTCATATTGTGCCATGCCCACGTGGCTGGGGCCAAATTTCCTTGTTTCAAACACATTTCAAACATTTGTTTCTCCGTCATAGTTTCCTTCAAAATATATATTTATGTAAAAACTACACGACTCACTTGTATTTCTTCGCCTTTTTGTTCTAGGACCCTAGGTTCTATTACGGGACCGTTTTCCTATTGCTGAAATTTAGACCTGGGACATTGACTATATATAATATATATAGATATAGATTATATATAGTCAATGCCTAGCGGTTGCTGTATTATGACTTAGATACAATGCATAGGTGGTTTGGCGGGATTTGAACCTGGTGCCTCATAGACCCAGGTATATAGTCCCGCACTCCACTATTTTCTCCGCCATAATTAATTTAGTGTTATATTGCCATAATTTGTTACCTAGCCCCAACTTATCTTGATTGAAACAAGCTAGTTAAAGTTTATAATGGTTATCTTTTAAGTACATTTAATGTAATTACCTTCTGAATCCTGACCAAATGAATTAACAATATATTATACTATGATAGAGGACTTTCTATGGACATTTCTCAAACATAGATACTAATGTGCACAAATTCAGTGGTCTCTTCTGCGTAGAATTTAATTTAAAAACGTTTATTAAGATTATATTTCATGTAAAATGTACAAATATTGCCAATATTAAATATAAATTCATTTCAAATGGGCAGTTCTAAGTGTTACTTACTGTTTGATTGCTACATGTAACCTCTATGAAGAAAACCAGATATTATAGCCATTGTATAGCTGACTGTATTATCATCCATATCTACCTTTAAATATGTTTTGTCATTGCAAGTACATTTTATTGATTCGTTTTTATCATAGCGATCCTGAATTTTTTTATTAAGGTAATGTGTATTGAAACAGTGTTATACTTCTCTGGGGTTTATGCATCTCCATTCACATCTACAATATACTAAATTTTCACAGCTATTTTAGTTAAATTAATTTTGTTTGGGAAACAATTTACTCTTTAATTTAATAAAGTACATACCTTCACGTCAACAGTTCAATGTGGTGGTTAGCCTTACAACATGTCCTGCCTATTGAGACATTGTCAAGTGACTTCCTTTCCAAGAATGTATCATCCAACAATAGACTCATCAATGAAATTCCCCCAATTTCAACTTAACAACATGTGGATGTATTGGAAACTATTATTTTGAATGTCATCGTTTAATCTATCATTGGATTAAACATTCTAGGAAATAACAACAATATCTGAATAGGCGAAACATGTGAATTTGACCACTACTTTGATGAACTGTTAACTTGAAGCTATTGACCTAACAATAGACCTTTCTTAGCTTAAATTCAATCCCACATCTACATTCATCATATGGATTGAAAACACACCTATAAAGTAAATTAAGCCAGTTTAACTGGCTGTGCCTAATTTCACACAAGAGTCCATGTGGTCAAAAGTTATTTATTTAATTGTCCTATGAATCGCTGGTTAAACAAAACATTTTTGGAAATCAAACATTTTCAAAGCAATCTATTTCAGCACGTGGATGAAATCTTGTAGATTTATCATCAAACTGTTTGACAAATAAACTGACTTAATATAATCCAATTAAGTACTTCCAATTCAACCCATTTCTTAAACAATGACATTTACAGAATATTAGATTACATAACTTGCTTTGTTCAATTGAAGATAATTAATGAAATTTGACTAGTTACTTCTGCTAAACCAGATACCAGATTAGATCGACATAATTATCCTTTATTACTCTACTCCTGTGGCTATTGAGAACCAAGGCGGTCTTGGGCCTCGCTAACCATGTGTCTCCAGAATCCTCTGTCCTCTGCCAGCTCCAGGTCTGCTTCCATACTCCTTAGGTCCGTTGTAACATCGTCAATTAATTCATCTCATCCTTGGCCTTCCCAATGATCTCCTTCCCTCCGGCCTACCTCTTATCACCTGTTTTATCATCTCCCTCTCACATCTGCGTTGAATGTGGCCCAACCACCTCATCCTTCTACTCTTAACCACTCCCACAATATCTGGTTCCATATATAATTCCTTCAATTCCCTGTTGTTTTCTATTCTCCACGAGTTTTCGTCTTTTATTGGTCCAAAAAACCTTCTCAATACTTTATTTTCAAAAATAATGTCTTTTTTGGGATTTCTTTGCGAAAGACCATAATTATCCTTACAAAATTTTATAGTAATAAAGTAATGAAAAGAGTTTTAATTGTTCAAATAAAGCTATAATGGGTATTATATCACCGTATAGATCAATTGAACGCATTTCACTAATGCTTAGGTAAAGAACCGGATGGAATTTGAAATCCTACGTGACGCAATTTTCCTCTTAAGAGGTTTAACTGATATTTACTTAGAAAACATGGAGTAGGCACGTACAGTTATAGTGAGAAGTGCTTCCCCGGTACACGATTGTGTGTACAATTATATCTATGGGCTAAAGATAGAGGAAATATCAAAACTATAATATCGAACACGGATCTTTAACAGGTCTAATGCAAATAATGTGTGTTAGTGAGTTTAAATGCTGTTTTGCACCAAGTACTGTATTATGTTTATTGTTTTACTAAATTATACTTGATACACACTATTGTTTTGTCTTTTTTTAAACGTTTTACTAGGATTAGCCCACCTGTAACTCTTTTAAAATTTGTATATCTTGGTTAAGTTAATTAAATTGATGTGAGGCCAACTATTAATTGGTGCAAACTCTGTATCAAAAGGTAAACCAGTGTTCAGAGTTTAGAAATTAGGCCAATGTCAAAAATTAATTATACATTTAAACTTGCTCATATCAATTTTGTTTATATTATTATTAGTTTATATTTTACTATTAATTTTGAGGAATAAAGACAAAAACTAGAGTCTTTACGATCCAATTCAATGTATGAATGGTAGTCAAAATATAGAAATAGCTAGTCAGAATTTACATGGAACTATATAATATTATTTTAATAAACATTTTCTCCTGAACCACTTTGAATGAAATGCAATGTATTTACCAAAGAAATGTTTGCACAATATCTACTTCCAATAACTTGGTTTGAGAAATTTTCTTTCATCGGGTAACTTCTCACAGAGACACTTTCTTTTTCATTACAGTAAAACCACAACGCAAAAAGCTGCTTACATCTCTTTATAAAAGTTTCAAAAAGATTTATTGTGTAAAGACCAGAATAATACTTCGATTTCAGAGAATTTATACATATTGAATATTTTCTTGTAACATTTAATATAATATTTTATACCCATCCGACAGTATGAATATTTATTTTAACTTTTTACAAAATAAGTAATATAGATAAATAAATAAATAACCAAATAACGAGTCCCAAAATATCAGCCTAAGATTTTTTAAAGTGATATAACCATTAAAATTATAAACCAAAACACCTGTGAAAATCTCAAAATTGGATGTTCTAATTATGATTATAAAATCTAACAGAAGATATTACATGTTGAGAAAATATCAACATTAAAAAATGTTTGAATATTAAACTGTCGATTGGACGAAGTAAAATATGTTTGACTAGTTTCAGCGGCCCATCATCATGAATATGCATGCACAGCTGTTCCAATACCATCTGCTATCATTGTTGTACACGCTTAGCTCTCAGACATGTATTTAAAATAACCCCCGTCACAGTCACCCTGCTAGATATTACGTCAAGCACCGGTACACTTTTTGTCTTCACAGATTGTCTATATGAAAGTGGAAATTTTTAGTATAAAAAGGTAAAAAACTTAAAAATAGTAAAACTATGTACATTACATATCTCAAAGATATAAAGATTAATCCATAAATTAATAAATACAGTAAATAAGATGAATAGGTTTTATTCCATTATACAAAGACGGCACAGTTTCTTCCTTTTACCAAGCTCAGTCCCATAAATAGAAAACAACTCTTTGACTCTAATAGCTAACTCTAATAGCTAACTAATATTCTCTCCATCATTAAATTTGTCCTGTCGGTTATCATTGTTTAATTAACAAGGTGCAATATATAAGGAACAATGATTTTGAAAGTAGCTTGAAATTAACCATCATCAATGTTAGAATACTTTATTTGAGCTCAATGTCTGACTTTACTTCTGTAAAGTAACTATGATACCGAAATTACTTCTAAATTCAACTAATGATTCCAAAATCTTATTAAAAAGTACTTTGGAGGTGTCTGCCTGTGGCTAAACTGAGTTTTGATTGTTGCAGACTGTGTGATGGTGACCTCAGAGGAAGGTCACTTCTACTACAAGTCTCCCGGAGAAGAAGAACTGACTCTCTGTGGCTAAACTGAGTTTTGATTGTTGCAGACTGTGTGATGGTGACCTCAGAGGAAGGTCACTTCTACTACAAGTCTCCCGGAGGAGAGGAAGTGACTGTATGTGGCTAATCTGAGTTTTGATTGTTGCAGACTGTGTGATGGTGACCTCGGAGGAAGGTCACTTCTACTACAAGTCTCCCGGAGGAGAGGAAGTGACTGTCTGTGGCTAAACAAAGTTTTGATTGTTGCAGACTGTGTGATGGTGACCTCAGAGGAAGGTCACTTCTACTACAAGTCTCCCGGAGGAGAGGAAGTGACTGTATGTGGCTAATCTGAGTTTTGATTGTTGCAGACTGTGTGATGGTGACCTCAGAGGAAGGTCACTTCTACTACAAGTCTCCCGGAGGAGAGGAAGTGACTGTATGTGGCTAATCTGAGTTTTGATTGTTGCAGACTGTGTGATGGTGACCTCAGAAGAAGGTCACTTCTACTACAAGTCTCCCGGAGGAGAGGAAGTGACTGTCTGTGGCTAAACTGAGTTTGTATTGTTGCAGACTGTGTGATGGTGACCTCAGAGGAAGGTCACTTCTACTACAAGTCTCCCGGAGGAGAGGAAGTGACTGCCTGTGGCGTCTTCCTCATCACTGACCCTGACAAGGTGGTGGAGGTCTACTTCGACCACCTCGATGTACCTTGCAACACTGGTGGCCTAGTGTCTGTAAGTAATTCGAATTAATTGGGGTTTCGCCAGCTCATGTGCCAGGAGAAGCAAGCTGATCTAGTAGTAGAGTGCGAGGCTTCGGTCCCCTTTGTGTCTTATCCAAAGCCAGCTAATCACCAACGGATGTTAGCTATTTGATGTCACAACCCTCTTGGTTTAGTCTGTAGTGATGTGCAAAATTGAATCCAGGCTAAAACCTGAGATGTGAAACTGGGATCTAAATCCGTTTATTTCTTCCTATAGCACTGGTATGCTGGTATGCTAAGTGATCATAACATGTAAATTAATTCAACCTATTGCGTCTCTGGCTACAAGAAGTTACCCATCAAATATTTAAGAGGTAAGCTAGTGAAATGAAAGTCAATATCAGCACCAAGTTCGAAACCAAGTCATTGTAATTGTGATACATAAGCTGGCAGATTTCAAAATTGAACATGGGCTGGCAATTAGTTCCTTGAAAAACCTTCTGTTGGCCATCCTGGAAGATTTACTTCCTCGGAGTTAGCCAGTTTTTCCCTTGGACTCTTCGCGTGTTTCCTTTTTTATTCACTCTGCTCTGTATAATCAAATAATAACTTTCAGGTATTGGTACATAGGGTTTCTTTTTAGAATTTGAGTTATCTCAAACCTCTGCTACCATCCTAAACCGCGCTGTCTCATTCCACCTGTTTCATAGACTACAAGAGTAACTGTATAAGTACTTATGTGAAATATTTTCCTAAAAATAGTTTTATACTTCAAATTATTTGCTTAAGAGAAAGAAGTCCTGGGACGGTATCCGCTTTGGTGATCCTGTAATAGAGCACTGATGGCACATTTGCTAATTATAGCCACAAACTTTAGCTATGAAGAAGTAGACAGAGTAATAATGCTAATACTGATAATAAAGTATTCTTCAAGATATAATACATTCTTTAATGTATTCATAATGTATTATTTATATAATACAGTAGTTTGTAATAACACAATACTTGTGTTTAATTTAAATATTTAAATTAAATAGAAACTGAACCTGTAATCAAATATAAACATTGCTTATTGAATCAAATGAATAAAAAAATACTCTTCATTGACTTAAACTACTGACTAATGCAAATACTTGACACTCTTCGTAATATGAGCTAAATACTGTGCTATTATTGTTTCACTTAAGTCATGTTGTTCACTAACATAAGTACAACTTATACAAACCTGTTACTTCATCAGTGATTACAGAATGTTTTACTGATTCCTTTGTTGTCATAGTTCGTAGATGGTTGGGAGATGAATGGACAGTTCTTCCCAAGCGCAGATGATCATCCAAAACCTATGTCAGAGAGGTACCAAGAGTTCTGTGGCAGTCGTCAACCCAAGACTGTGTTTCTATCTTCTCAGAATGCTGGCTTGGTGCAATACAAAGTTCCCAAACGTGGAAGAGGCTTCAGCTTCCATGTCAGATACATCAGGAACCCCACACGTGAGTAAAGTGGAAAGTTGCCGGTTTGATCCTGAGAAAAGTCAAAATATTTTAATGGTTAGAAACTGGACCCAACTGTATATCCTTCATAATTGGGTTGTACATCATTCATTCCAAAAAACAGCTGATCTTATGCTGTAACAATACTGTATCATTCATTCAACACTATCGTTTACTCATTCAAAAAATATGGCACCCTAGTGTGTCAACTTGGTAAAAATCTAATTGTAATTGTGTGTGCTATTTTGTATATTGAGCTCAACAGTTGAAACTGAAAAGTAAATATACGACAGTAGTACTTAGAGTTTTAATCACCATAAAACATTACATTTCTTAATCTCAAGTTCACTGCAGCAATATTTGCACAAAACTGAAATGTTAAACAAACTACAAAATATTATTTTCACTTAGATTATTAATTGCACAGTATTTTTTGGACGTGCTCACACAATAAAGTTACATCCACGTGTTTTGATAGACTTTGAGGCAAATGTGTCACATATTCTGATGCCTTTAGAGGTGACACAAAGTCAATCGCTTTGACACAAACTGTGTTGGTCAGTGTACAGTGTTACCTTCCCCATCACTTGCCTCACTGCTGTCCAAACCATGACCAACAATCCATATCTTTTAAACCTTTTTTGTCAGGGGATTTTCTGCATTGTTACATAGTGACACTAAGATGTCTGAAAATTTAATTTTATATCTGTCTTTATACATAATACTGACACTATAAAAAAGTTACTATGTGATAATATTTCTTGATGGCATTGGTCAGGTGCTGTGTTTTACTTTTATAAAAAAAGTCGATAGAAAAATATCATTTGAAACCTCTTTGTTCAGTAGGATGTAAAAGTAAATTGATATTTAGTGTCATGTTACCTCTTTATAACTGTCACAAAATATTTGGAACTTTGTATTTTTATAATAGATTTTTATTTTAAATTAATTGGAAAGGCTTTGACATAGTGCTAAAGGTTAGTGCCAGGCTATAGTAAACATATAAAGCAGTTTTTTTTTTAATAAGGTTTTATATGACGTAAGAATAAAGTGTACCAAGTTTTGCAGCTTTCGCACTTAAAAGAATATTTTGAGCAGTCACTGATCATCCCAAGCTTCATCAATCAGTACTGTATACTATTTATACAGAGATACTATTATACAAAATCAAAGTAAATAAACAAAGGATAATAAGAGGTGATTCAGACGAAAGAAAACTACAGTCTTATAGGATGAAAAAGTACTTGGAGAAGCAAAACCAGAAGACAAGATAAAAAAAATCATCTCAATAAAATTACCTAAGCTTTTAATGTTGGTTATAAAATTAAAATACCAAACATATGAATGAGAGCAAGTAATCTGAACGAATATATTGATGTAAAACTGAGTGTTAATAATGAAATCAAAGCTATTGCTAGCCTTAGAATATAAATTAAACTAATCATAAAGTTTTTGGCTCACATTTTCTCCAAAGTATCCAAGAAATGTCTCTAAACTAAGCACATTAGTTACAGCACAATATTGATGCGGCAAACCTTTTAGTTTTGTTTAGGTAGGTTTAAGAATTAATGTGTTTTAAATCAAGTGAGATTTTAGAATTATTATTGCCACTGAAACGTCTACTGGTTGTCCTTAATCAACATAACAAGAATTGGATTATGTAATTCAGAGAAAATTAATAAAGGTTAGATATTTCCAATCAACGGTTTTGGTGTCCCTGGACTCATGCTTTGATGCTTTGATTGCTCATGATGTGTCCATGCTTTGACAAGCTTTACCGTTCAGGGAAGTAACATTGGCAGGTCGAAACATGATTGACTGGGGAATTTTCCACTCATCATCTCCCATTGATTACCTGTTGGGAGAATATATTTTATTAAATTATAAAACGTTTTCCACGAAAAACCTTGAAGATTAGATCACATGAAAGAATAGAACTCTTAATTTATGTTTGTAGCATGGAGATTATTTTGTACGTCTCTGTATATTATAACGTGTTTTTTTTTTATAATTCATTGTAGAAACATGACCTGTTAATGAACCTTAATGACCTTAGTCTACATTGTACCTGTATTTTGCATAATACTTACTTTCACTCCTGTTGCTTTAAATATTTCCTATAATTTTTAGCGTTAGTTTGTCACCATTGCTACCAATTAAGGAGGACTTATCCTGGGTAGCAGAGGAAATATTTTTTCTTTCGCAAAAATATGAAATTATAATTCAAAATTAATTTATTCCTGTTTATAACTTTAGTCTAGAAATGTAGGTAATTTTCTTAATGATTAAAAGACAGTCATTTGAAAATTGTTGTTCTTCATTGTATAAAATATAATAAAATGTACAGTACCGAGGATAATTTAGGGCGAGTGTACCAGTGAATTACTATTTCATATAAAAAAAACATCATATTAAGCTTTTTGTTTTACCTAGTCTATCACAAATGGTCTTAAAAGTAACTTAAGAGTCTGTTTGGAGTTTTGTCGCTGGTTCTAAAAGAAAGTGTAAATCATCCTTTTGTAATACAATCAAAATTAAGTGTTCCAAACTCAGTTCATCTTCAAGACTCCCACTATAGCGTTTTGTACAAACAAGGTTGTTTGTATTTCTCATGGTTTTATGGTTTCTTTGGTTATTGATTGAAAGTATTTAATTAACAGTAAACACGTTAAACAATCTCCACTCATTTTAAGATGAACATCCTAACAATTTATTATTAACCGCTGCTCATTTACTGGAGCACTCATCACTGGCTCAATTTGGGTTATAACTAGATGTGGATCAATTTTCTCGATAGATTTTGATGGCGATGGTATATTATGGATTAAGTGCTTGATGTTAAACACGAAATATCATCAGAAATCATGTGTGGATAACTATACTCAGAATTTGACCGCGATTTACAGGTTACTGTTTATTATACAGGGTGTCCAACTTAGAGGTGAAAATCATAATTCACTGGTGCAATGATTTATATGTGATAAGTTTCATTTTTCAACAATCTTTTTTAAGATAATACATTACTTTAAACTGCAGGAAAAAACGTTGAAAGTACTTTTTTAAACTAAAGCCTAATATCCTACTTTCCTATGTCGGATACAAAAGATACAACTGGAAACTTGGGTTTAAACGATCATTCACTGGTGCATTCATTGTACATTTAAAAATGTTTCTGGTCAGTAAGTTATCATGTGTTTAGGAGGAAACCCATAGATATTGACACAATGGCACATCCAAAACTCAAGGCACACGTTAGCACCAATAGTTATTTGTGTAACTACTGAGCAAAGGACATTTGCGATCGTGTTACACATTATATTTTTCCTACAGTCACTATAAAGCATATAAATAGTTAGTATTTCAAACACTATACAACACGTTTTTAGGTTAGGTTAAACCCAAGCGTTGGACGTTATTCTCAAACATGTTAGGCCCACTTACAATTATTCTTTCAAATACTACGCTTTAGGTTATGTTCAAACTAAGCGTTGAACGAAAATAGAATATACACACGAAATGACAGGTTAAATCGTAGTATCAATAGTCAATCAGCTGATCATATTAGTAGTGTCAAGTGTCGCCAACCTATTTCCAAGTGTACACGGATTACGTGCATAATAAAACCACGCTGTTTTGTGTTGTTTGGTTGGAATACTGGTGTGCGCCAAAGTATAAACCGTGCGACAAAGTATAAACCGTGCGACAAAGTGTAAATGGTGCGACAAAGTAACTAAATGCAGCTATTAGCAGCTTTCAGTACTATATTTAGTGCAAGGAAGCCCAACTATGTCGGGTGAATGTAGGAACAAATCTTATTAGGAATGCACAAATTGAAATCTATATGACTTTGGTCAAGAAACATTCTGGGATTCTGCATGGAGTTTTTCTTTGCAGCTTGCAACATCCTGATAGAGGGTACGTCGGATGTGTACACTCTGCGCAACTATGGCAAGCATGTCAACTGCAGCCTGACCGCGGTGTATCCTGCGCAGGTACGTGTGCTGCAGCTGGGCGTGGGGATGGCCTTCAGTAAACGAAACCTGCAAGTCGAAACAGGAACCATTCACAAGGTGAATAACACTTTGTTGCAATCTATTTAATTACTAAAGGGGTTCTCTGTATTCCTTTTCCAGCTGTTCTAATCAAACGATTTTCACGATTGAGGAGTAATTTTAGAGCTAATGAATGGATAGAACAACTGACAGTAGAAAGAAAAAGGTATTTTAGTGTTTCAAATTGTTACTAGAAATCACTTTCAAAGATCCTGTGTTGCTGACTAACTTTCTTTAAAATGGCTGAAATATGAACTATTATAATCCAACAGCTGATCCTTCAGTTCAATTTTAACCACAGTCGGATTTTAAAAAAGGGACAAAAGAAACAGTTACGCTACTTTTATTATATTTGCAGCCTGTTTAAGGTAGTTAAACAGGCGTATCTACGTATCTACTTCTACTTACTTACGTATCTACTTCATTCTTTATGAAGTAGATTTACTTGTCTTTGAAAAGTAAAAGTGTATTGTATTATTATTTTAACCTTAAAATTAATTGTTGGACCCTATTAGAATGTGCCATTTTCCCATGGGTCTTTTCATTATCTTTGTTTGACAAAACTGAAATAGGCATAAACTCACTTTTTTAATTGTATGTATAATGCATGTATAATGTACGTTAGGTGCATTATATAAGGTTATGGTAAAGGTAAATTTCGTTATAGTTGGTTTATTTGATACAAAATGCCAAAATTGGCCATAAAACACCAAGTATCATTTTAAAATTCTCTTAGTATATTTTGGTGTATTGGTCATTTCTTAAACAAAACACAGACTTTGTGGGTAAGCAAAAATGACTAGTTTAATATAGAAAATTCATATTTTTAATGAAACTGCAAATGCTACTAAAACTTCAGAGCAAGTACAAACTTGTCAAAAGTTGTCAAAAGTAATCTAAATGTACTTAGAATAGAAATAAAAATGCAGAGGGGACTTGTTTTATCTAAGTATTGAAATATCTGCGATCAAAATGCCAAGTTTTCACCTATTTTCAAACACTTTTCAGCAGTTATAATTTAATACTTTACTTTGAAATGGCGACCATACAAAGTAGGTATTTTAAGCCAAGTATGAATGGAGATGAGTGTAGGATGAGTGGGGTGATCTTGTAATCTTGTTAGTGACTAAGGCCGACATATTCCTGTACCACTGTTATCTTGACACAGCTGTTAATTAATAGGCCATACAGCCAATGACAACTAAGGGACCTACAGTTTATAGTGGAATCCGAACCACATGTTTGCCTTGTAATTAACGAATTGGTCTAATCATCAGAATAGTACTGCGGATAGTCGTAGTACTCACTAGTGCAGACGTTAATCCACACCAGGGAGTATCGAATCCACAGTGCATGCCTATAAATATCCACAATTCGTTAATTATAAATTAAACACATTGTAGTGTTTCAGTTTGAAATTTTCAAGTTTAAAGTTTTGATTATTAATCTCTCAAATTCTTTACTTACCTTTGCTAAGTGGAAATGCTTCAGTTTAGACAAACTAGCTGTGAACTGATGGTCAAATTATTTATAAAACTGAAAAAGGGCATGTGTCAACAGCAAGATTCTCCACTCCGTTCATATATGGCCTACACGAACAATAACAATATTTGTATAATTTTATTCAGCCCGATGGTTTGTAAAGTTTGATCTGATGTTTTGCCATGTTTTATTTTGTCTTATGTTGCTTTATTATAGTGTGACAAGCGAGGAATGCCCGACTTTGTACAGCTGGGAGGCAGTGAGGGATTGGACCTGTCTACCTACAGCGTCATAGACTCTATTTGTGGCACAGATTCTCTGCCAGGTACGAGATGCAATGCTTTCCAATTTCTATCGCACTAAATGAGGTGACGAAGATTAACTTTAGAACCAACCCCAGAAACTTAAGCATCATTAACGTTTTTTTGGCTTATAGAAACGAAACCTCGCTATAATTTTCCCAAATATTTGGGGTTAAATATACCCATTTTGATCTTCATCTTACATTATTATAATAAAGTGACTCAGAAATTGAGTTATTTTGTACTTTTGAAACAATATGGTCCGACATCCATATTGTTTTATTGCTTTACCAAAACATTTAGCTTTGAATTATTTCAAACTTCCGGACAAGGTAAAACGTCATGAGACGAATAAAAATGCTTAATCGCACTTTATCTTCTAACTTGTAAAAAAATATATGTATAATAATCATGCTATGTTCTTGTGTGTTACAGCAAGTTAGCTGAATACAGAGTTTTGTGGCAGTCAGTTTTGTTTTGTTTCCATAATAATTTCAGGACTTTTGTTAATTTACACGAAACATTCAACCAAAGTCACTATTATTTATTTATCTTAATATTTGGGTTCAAATTTACCAATTTACATCTTCATCTTCAAAATTTACAGACATGTGACATGAAGGCATGTCAGATAGTCTATTTTTTACCGTCTAGATGATTCTGGTTGATTATTCATGATCTCCTGTGATTATTCAAAGGATTTTGTCTTGAATATGGATGACAGTTTTACTAAGGTTAAGGATGTTTCCAAACAAGCACCTGGGGATACTCATGGCTTCCTTTGGTAGTAAGAAGAGCCTAATGTATTACTATCTTGACACTTTCTTTGGTTAGATCACATAATTTTCTGTAAACAGATGATACAACTTTATAATGCTCAGACCTTAATCCAAAATCATTTTTTACTGGAAGTACAAGAATATGTCCTTTTCATATTTCACTATTCCAAGGCAAAGACAAATTGGTCTAGACATCACTTATGTGTTTTGTGTTTATGTAAGATTTTGATTAAACATAGTGTTTTACATTATCAGAGCGTGTGGTGGAGACAATTCTGTGCGGAGTTACGACTGTCAGACTGGTGTCCAGTGGAGAGTTTGACAACGCTGTCACTATCCAACTGCGACAAGCAGATGAAGAAGATATCCCCAGCGCCTCCCTCATTTGTGGTCTCTGAGGTGATCCTGAAATCCTTATATGTTATCTTTTTATAATTTGTGGTCTCCGAGGTAATCTTAAATCTTTAATGTTATCTCTTTATCATTCGTGGTCTCTGAGGTGATCCTGAAATTCTAACATGCTATCTTTTTAAACAGAGGCCCTGGTGGGAAATTCTTTAACAGAAACCTTGTATTCTATTACATTGACTATGAAATATTCAGTTTAAAACTAAACATAGCATTATACATTATAATATGGTGACATACATAACATTTATTTATGAATACATAACATTTATTGATACAAACTACATATTGTGCTACAAACTTTGTTCTAAACAAAGGTATAGAATACATTATAAATCTTCCAAAATCTTAGGCTGCATGTTTAATGACTTTCGACTTCGCTGCATTATCTAAAGACATCTTAGGAATAGTTCAGGCTGTAATCACACAACAATATAAAATAGATTTACAGTTTATTTAAGGTATTATTTGACAACATAAACTAAACTTATTATTAATAGTTTAACAATAGTCATACTGACAATTGGTTTTATCTTTGCATACTAGTACTACGTTAGTCAATACTTTTGTAAATTATCCCAAAAATAAATGGCTTGTTTCATGATGTTGGATGGGCAGCACAACTAATTGTATTCAAACTTTTCCTTGCATTGGATAATGAGGACTTGTTGGCGACTGTAGTTTGCTGCTACCTGTTGAGCTTTTCTAGAACTACGTCAATAAACACAGCCATGCAGTGTATTGCTTTCGATGAGTGATTGCACAATGCACAATCATTGTGAATGTGCTAAATAACAATAAGTGTTTAATTTCAAAACACAGTATCTGTTTCCTTTACAGTTATATGTTTAGATAATATGTTGACGGTAAAAATCTTTGGCCCCTCGCCCACTATACGATTTCGGTCGTACGACACTGTGTCGGAACGACAACATTTCAACAGTGAACCATTGGATCTTATAAGAGCTCGCCCAATGTACGATAATCTCACGACTACGACAAACTGTCGTGAAGCAGTCGTCCACTGCCACTGTGATACACGACTGTCGTACGACTGTCTAACTCGCAGTGGAGTACACGATCAAATGGGCGCTCGCCCACTATACGATTTTTGTCGTATGTCGTGCGTTCTCCCCAGTAGTCCTATATATACTTTTCACAATTAACTCAAACTTCTTCATTATTATAGTTGTTATATCACTTGGTTCAGCCTTTTTTACCATTCTCTTGCGTATTTCTTAGTGAAAATATTTTTTTACAATTCGTTCATACTTTTTTATTATAATGTTCCTATGTTTTATTATAATATTCCTCTCTGTATCCCTTAGAGATTTTTAAAACAACGATATATCGTTTCATAGCACTGAAAGGGTTAAATACATTAACTTAGGAAATAATCTACACATAAAAAGAACGATTTCTTTAATGCTGTAGGCCTACATTTGCCTTTCAATTCCATTACCTGTTGTTGAATTTTAATGTAATGTTGTCACTATTTTATTAATTAGGCTAATTTTGAATATCAAGACATTAAGAAAATATAATTAGTTATTGTTGTAATTTTCCTGGTTTTCTTATACATTTTTATGTTCTGATAGCATTGTTTGAAACCAGAAACTCATAAGATCAAAAGCCATATAGTTTACAATGTAATATTGAATTTAACTTTGATTTAGTTGGAATCATCATTATGTATTGGTTTAAAATCAAGTTAATGCGAGGATAAAAAATATTATAGACAGACATTTTTCAATACCCTCAGGATTGACGTACTATTTATATCAATAATTCAAAACAAAATTCCCAGTCAGCGCACATACGTAAATTATACATATAATTGGTGTTCAACTTAGACCTACAATACGTATATCAGAGAGATGGGTTACGTAAAATGTACGTATAATATACGCTCAAATTTTCCACTTGTTGACGTACAATATACGTCGATTTAAGGTATACATGGACATAAAATATCCGTAGATTATATGTATAAATATAAATTGTTCCATTAACTTACACAGTGTACACGTAATTTATATTTATACATATAATCTACGGATATTTTATGTCCATGTAGACCTTACATCGACGTATATTGTACGTCACCAAATAGGACATTTGAGCGTATATTATACGTACATTTTACGTAACCTATCTCTCTGATATACGTATTGTAGATCTACGTTGAACATACATTATATTTATATTTATACATATAATCTACGGATATTTTATGTCTATGTAGACCTTAACTCGACGTATATTGTACGTAAACAAGTGGGACATTTGAGCGTTTATTATACGTACATTTTACGTAACCTATCTCTTTGATATACGTATTGTAGATCTATGTTGAACATACATTATATTTATACATATAATCTAAGGATATTTTATGTCTATGTAGACCTTACATCGACGTATATTGTACGTCAACAAATAGGACATTTGAGCGTATATTATACGTACATTTTACGTAACCTATCTCTCTGATATACGTATTGTAGATCTAAGTTGAACATACATTATATTTATAATTTACGTATGTGTGCTTCTCGGCTATCTGTGCTTAAAGACTTAGGAGTCAAAACCCGGTATTTAAGCCGACGCCACCGATTGCGAACAGATAGCGCTACAGATGGTTGTTCAATGTGTTACTAGGTAGCAGCACCAGTTAGTCACGGACTATTTAGATGATATTTTTCAGTTGAAACACAACAGTGATCATAAATGTGTTCCCGAAACTTTGCTGCAAAACATTATTTTCCCTAAAATGGCTATATATTACGATAACCTCTTCCAACTAAATCAAAGTTAAATTCAATATTACATTGTAAACTAAATGTCTTTTGATCTTATGAGTTTCTGGTTTCAAACAATGCTATCAGAATATAAAAATATATAGGAAAACCAGGAAAATTACAACAAAAACTAAGTTTTATTTAATGTTTACTACAAATACCGGGATTAATTTTTGTTATATATTTTCTTATTGTCTTGATATTCAAAATTAGCCTAATTAATAAAATAGTGACAACATTACAGTTAAAATTCAACAACAGGTAATGGAATTGAAAGGCAAATGTAGGCCTACAGCATTAAATAAATCGTTCTTTTTATGTGTAGATTATTTCCTAAGTTAATGTATTTAACCCTTTCAGTGCTATGAAACGATATATCGTTGTTTTTAAAATCTCTAAGGGATATAGAGAGGAATATTATAATAAAACATAGGAACATTATAATAAAAAAGTATGAACGAATTGTAAAAAACATTTTCACTAAGAAATACGCAAGAGAATGGTAAAAAAGGCAGAACCAAGTGATATAACAACTATAATAATGAAGAAGTTTGAGTTAATTGTAAAACTCAATATGTGTTTTCGCAAGATGAAAGAGTATGTATTGTAGAGTTATATAAATCAAAGTGAAAGTAAACCATTAGTTCTATGGAAAGAAAGGTTTGAAATTATGTATTCCAGTATAAAATAATTTAACTACTTATAGACTTGTTAAATAGCCAAGGTCATTTAGAGGAAGATCTGTAGAAAACAACAAAGTAGGCCAACAATGCATACTCTTTGAGCTTGCGAAAACACCATGTTGTTTAAAGATTATACAGGGTGTTTTTCTGCGATCTCAAATAGAGTATGTATTGTAAGTCTACGTTACATTTGTTTACTACGGATCCAGTTTGCTTAAATTTGTACATGTCAATAATAGTTTATTTATTAGGTACTGAAATCACAACTTTAACTTAACCTCATCAATAACTTTGCAACAATGTATATCAGCTGATTGGCAATGAAGTAAAGAAAACAGAGATACCAACATATACGCTTAATTTTCGTTGAACAGTGTCTCACAGTACTTGTAACTTGGGTTGCGTTAAAACAAACACCCTGTATATTATGATGTTTTTATTTACATACCTCTTACTTAACTCTCCAGGAGTAACTTTTCAAGCAGCCTACTTAATAATAAAACATTATACAGTTAAAATATTTGTAAATAAAAATTCAAGCCGCACTTTCAATGTTGTTTTCTCATGTTAGAGGCTGAACTGTGTATTATAACCGATGTCGTCTGTTTCAGGACCACCGCATTCTGTGTAGTTCTCAACCCCTTCGCCAGAGATCATCACCACGTTTTTTATGCCATTTACTACAGTTTAGGGAGACCACGACTTCTAACCAAACACGACTTGTAGATTGTTTATTTTTTTGAATTTCTGTAAATTTGATGTACAGTAACGATGTGACGGTGATAATAAATGTTTCACCACCTTGTGTTGCGCTGAGTGTGATTTGTTCCTTTCACTGTGATTAACCATTTCACTGCCATGGTTTCATGTCGAGACTGATTACAAGAGAAACAGACAAGTTAAATCAAACTAAATACTGGCACAATAAGATATTCGTAAATTTTAGACAAGCACTTGGAAATTATAAGAAACATCAAATCAAATCAAATTATCCTTTATTCATTTAAGTACAATTGTACAGGAATAGAGTCAGATCTTACAAAATAAAATGTTTTACATTGAATAAGACAGAATATTTATTTTATTTGTTCTCCCAAAACTCTTCAAGAGAATATTAATGGGCAGTTTTAATCAAATACTGTTTCAGACAATTTTTAAACTTTTTTGTATCATTTTCAGTTAGAAGTGTTTTTGGAAGATGAGACATAAATTTATTTCCTGTGAATTTCGTTTTCTTTTTATAAAATTCTAGATTGTGTCTATCAATTTGAGATTGAGAACGAGTGTTATAATTATGACTAATTTTGTTTGATGCCTGAGTTTTTGTAATATTTTTCGCATAAATAATAGTTTCCAAGTTATATAGTCCATGAACAGTTAGTATTCCAAGATCTGTAAAAATATGTTTTACCGAAACTTTCCTTTTCAAATTAAACATTGCCCTAATTGCCCTTTTCTGGTACGATAAATCCGTTTTAAGTTTTTTGATATTGTTGCTCCATATATACTGATTCCATAAGCTAAATTAGAATGAACTAAGGCATAATATATTGATACTATTGTTTTTAAGCTGCAAACTTTATACATTTGTCTTAAAGCAGATACTCCTGAAGACATTTTTTTGATAACATGATCAACATGTTTGTCCCAGGTTAGATTTGTATCAACTATTAAACCAAGAAATTTTGTATGTTCTACCTGCTGTAATTTATAATCTTCTAAAATTATGTCTGGATTTAATTTCTTTTTGTTTTGTTTTGTAGAAAATTATACAAAATTAGATTTTTCAGGATTTAAAAGAAGGTTTTTGCTACATTAAAACTCCTTTTGTCGAATAGGAAGAAGCTAATCTTTGTATCTCTTCTATCAAAGGTGTACCTATGAGTCTGTGGAATACACTGAAGTACTTGTGTCTCCTTCAAAGTTATGTCCCATAAAGAAATTTAACACTAACGTCACATCATTTTATTTTCATGCATTCTAATAAGGCCTACTTAACATAAAGAAGTATACTGTAATGCATAGCTTCTTAATTTGTTACACCTGTACTAATTACTGTATTTCACAAAAATGATGTATTTTTGGCTCAATGTTGTATACATTTAATACTTGTTATTATCAGCGACTACCTCCTTCAACTCCTTCATTAACTTTCAGCACAGCTTTTTATAATCATAACTGCTTGACTTATTCCATTATTTTATTTTAAATATTTCCAATTTTAACGGATTACCTTCTGATGTAAATTTTTTGATACCACCTAACACTGGATGAATCTCTGATGTGTGAGGTATGGGCATTTTTAATCTCAGAGCCATTAATAGGTACATTTATTGACCAATGACATTATAATTTTATACTCTGTGGCCGAAATACGCAAAGGTTTTATTATCAGTAGAGCAAAGCAACATGGTGCAAAAACACTTTAACTCATACAGTATGCAGTCAAATATAATTCAAAATTCTTAATGTAAAAATACTTAAAAACTTAAACTTTAAATTGAAAGAAAGATATTTAAGATTACACACTGCCATACTAGTGAGAATAAATACTTACCAGTCAGCCCATGAGCCATTATTGACGTATTGTTTATCTCAATCTTGGCAAACTACATAAAGTATTTATAAATATGTAAAATTTTCACATAATATACATGCTGAGTTAAACAAATTTTCTGGCCTATTTCTTAAAAAAATATGATGTATACTCAATATAAATTATTTACATTCCATAAATAAATTGATGTATTAGTTAGTACGAAAATTGACGTATTATAGATGTATTCTATATCCATGCAATACGTGCAATACGTTTACTTTAGATTTACTTCGGCTCAAGGCAAGTTTTACGTATTATACACGTCTCTGTGCTGACTGGGTTACCAAGCTTGAAGCTTATCAGACAGCTAGGCATCCAATGAAGATCTGTATTTTTATTTACTCGATTCACAATATATCTATCAAGGGTTCTTTTGGTAGTTTTCTGACATATTTTATCTCTTAAATTGTTTCAAGTCTCAATCATTAGTACTCAGTCAATTGTTTATCATTCTTATTTCCTCATCTGTAATGTCATATGGACTTCTTGTCTTGAGATTTTCACAACACAGCAAAGGTAATATTTTGCTCAAGAAGAAATCAAAAGCGATTAAAGAGTATCAATCTCAATATTATTCCGATACTCCATCTGGAATATGGAGCGGAACATCAGGTGTTTTTGACCCAAACATATGGTGCCTTTGACATTGTTGCTTGCGCTGCAAAATATTATTCTTGATTGTATAAGTGTGGTGAATGATATCTAATAAAATGTAGAGTAAATTTACAATAAAGATTCATGACTCTGTTTAATTTGTTTGATAGCAGCAGTGGCAACCAAGAAATTACCAAACTACAGTTCAATACTGTTATGCGTCTTGAGCTGAGAAGTCAGACTAGAAAAACACTGCCCTCGTATACTAACTCATCACTGTAGTCCCCAACGGCAAAGATAGGTTACAATAGATCAGTAGTCTGGTAAAGGACAGTCAATGTTTTATTCCTAATAAAATTAATAGAACTATACCTTATTTATAAGTACTGTTCAGTACCTATGATGTAGGATAGGCAAGCTGGGCTGATGGCCTGTGGTCAGGTCTTGCAAGCTGGGAAGCGAGCTGGAGTTGTTTATGTAAACACTGAGGGCCTTCCACTAAGTAGGCTGTCAAGCTCAATAAGTAGACCACCTGAGGTAGGGAAAGGGGTCAGTCGGCCGGGGCAGGGTGCCTAGTGGTGTGTTGGGTGAGTACTGGTTACTTTGTCTTAAGGATAGTCCTTTGCAGGGAGTTGGCAAGGGGAAGTTCAATTTAAAGAGGGCTTAGTGTTGAGAATAGTTTGATTTGTGGATTTTAATAAGGGAATTTTAACTGGTTCAGATAATTGACTGGTATACGCCATAGCATTATTTTGGGGATATTATAATTAGAGTTTTATCTGCCTCTAGGACGTTTTCAATTGGCCATTCATGAAGTGTGTTTTGTGCATCAAGTTTTAGTTATTTACATCGGAATAAAGGGCAGTTCTTTAAGATTAACTTTGTCAACTTATTTAGTAGCTATACAGATTTTGACTGATTTAAATATAAAGATATAGATCAGGGGTTCTGTTGAAGCTACACTCCCATATGTATACTCAAGATAGCCTGAGGATAGATTATGAGGTTTCTTGCATGCCACATACCGATACAGGAAAAATGTACCAACTTACAAAAAACACTGTTGGTTCATGCAAAGCATAGAGCGTGAAATGTTAACTTGCATCTGAGACATGACCTACATTTGTGTTGTAGGGAATTGTTAAATTCCAAGCGACTTTTTAGTCTTAGGTGAGATTATATGACGAGGTTGAAACTTTCAACATTGAGGTATGGTATGGTAGCTGTTCATAAATAGCTTCCTATCTGTTAGACTTTTTTCTCAACCTATACATAGTATATGGAGAGAGTATTGAGCTTGGCCCACAAAATAATAGAAAAATCACATTTCCGATGACATCTCAACCTACTTTAAAAGTTAAGTATTTTATAGCCCTTTTAACTGTAAAAAAATCTGTACAACCCCCATCGCTGTGAAACTTACTGTTCGTGCGAAAGTATCGGATAACCAAAAAATAGCTTTCCTATTTTGGTTAAATTTGTATGTTATGGTCCTTTTTACTCTGAATAAATAGTGCAACTCCCATTGCTGTAAACGTTATGGTTAAAAAGTCATTGCAACTTTTGTGATTTTCCCAAAATTTTATCATAGTTACTCTCACCGTTTCCCCATGATAAGAATTGTTGAAAAGCTTATGTGAAAAGTATTAGTTTGCTGGTACCGTTTATCTGTGTTTGTTTACTTCAATATCATATATTCAATTATGCTTCAAAGCCCCCTAAAGGGAGGGATTATTTAGCGAATCACCTCATTTGACACCTAAAAGCATCGGTCCACCGTTTGTAATTAATACATTATTTTAGTTGTAGAAACAGGTCCAATACAACTTCACCTCCATTCTGATGTCCGACAAATACACATGTCACCTGCTTTGTGCACTCTCTACTCTAGCTACATCTTTGACCTCAACAGAATGCTGACTAAATCATTACAGGATGTGTGTGTGTAGGTTTAATTAACAAACTTTTAATTACAGTGGCAAACTTTTAGTTGTCTGGTGTACCAATGGATCTCGGACTATTGTGGGTTCAGATCCTGGTACCTGCCACTGCATTTTATTAGTACAGTTTACCCTGGTACTGTACCGGCTCACCCTTTACTTCTCTGAGTATTTTCCACGTACAGTGCCGATGCCTATGTGGACGGGAAAATGCAAGTACCTCTCTTTTGGGCAGTCAACATCTTAAAAAGATCACTGTACGTATCACACAAGAGTCTTCGGTTGTCTGAATGTACATATTATTGGCGAATGCAATGATACTTGCCCTTCCCAACTGTACCAGCACATTACTGTGCTTTCTCATTATTTTATAACTCTGCTCATTCCATATTTTTCACACTCACACTTACATAACTCTCTGCTAGGCCTCACATGATTTACAAACCAAATCCTGTACCTGAGTGAACGAGCATTGCTTTACTTATATTTGACAAATTCAACAGTGATGGGCTTAAGGGGCTTTGAAGCATAATTGAATATGATATTGAAGTAAACAAACACAGATAAACGGTACCAGCAAACTAATACTTTTCCCATAAGCTTTTCAACAAGTCTCATCATAGGGAAACGGTGAGAGTAACAATGATGTTTTATGGGGAAAATCACAAAAGTTGCTATGACATTTTAACCATAACGTTTACAGCAATGGGAGTTGCACTATTCATTCAGAGTTAAAAGGACCATAACATACAAATTTAACCAAAATAGGAAAGCTATTTTTTGGTAATCCGATACTTTCGCACGAACAGTAATTTTCACAGCGATGGGGGTTGTACAGATTTTTTTTAGAGGTAAAAGGGCTATAAAATACTTAACTTTTAAAGTAGGTTGAGATGTCATTGGAAATGTGATTTTACTATTATTTTGTGGGCCAAACTCAATACTCTCTCCATATACTATGTATAGGTTGAGAATAAAAGTCTAACAGATAGAAAGCTATTTATGAACAGCTACCATACCATACCTCTACTTGGTCGGTTATTTTTTATGTAATTTTTTGTGATTGACGCAAAGTGGAAAATCTGTTATAACTTTTCCAGCTATTTGACCTTTCCTTTTAACTTTGGAGCTAGCTGGTATAGTGGTCAAGCGCAGGGCTTTAGTTTCTGGGTTCCCGGGTTTAAACCCCACAAATTACCAATGGATTTTATCCATGTGTTACCACGACCCTTCAGGACCAGCTTGTAATATTTCGCATAATGCCTCCATGCTAGTATCTAGCGTCCTATAATGTGAAGGTGTGACAACAAAAATCAATGATATTTTCTTAAACCAACCTAGCCACAGTCGTGGTAGGACGGATAATTAACATATTACTGTAACATAAAATTATTTTATATCTAAGTTAAACCAATTATTTGTTGTTTTGGAGCTTGGAAACAAAAAATATTGGGAGTAACTACATGGTATTTATTAAACTGACTTTAAGGGCTTCCTTCTGTCTACAATAGGGATAAAGTCCACCAGGGGATGTGTGTTTTTGTGGTACTACGGCCCACTTAAGTTTTATAAGGTAATAAAGCTGCTTCAAGTTTTTATTTTTTGAATCATTATATTGAAGACTGTTCACATTTACTATAGGAAACTTACCCATATAGACTATATGAAAATGTTAAAGAGAAAATCTGAGTTCATTTACTGAATTTTACCACTTTAGACATTCTGAAAAAGATGGAGATACGTTAACGTTACTATACCACAAGATATTTAAAGTACGATAGGGATAAAGTGGGTATACTTCCCAACACACCTGATACAGCAGTTTCAAAGTTACTCACCAGACTGCAGCACTTACCAGAGCAATTATAAGAACACAGTTCTCTCGTTGTCCACTAGAGTTCAGGGAAGATGTGTTCAAACATTTTTAAGGATGGCTCAAAGATACTTTTACTTTCATCAAAAGACGTTTGGTACATGGTTAAAGTTTTTTCAATATAAAATACATTAGCAATAAATTTATTTGTGAATAAAATTGTGAAAAAACCAGACTAAGAATATGTTGTGTTGAAATCACCCCTGCTCGGAAATCAAAGATTGTTATCTGAAAACCAAAATTTTATGCAACCTTGAAATAGTGTACTTTATCAGCTGTGAACGATAAGCTAGAATGTAAAACAGAACTTAATTTACATCATCATATTGAGATAGGTAGGTACACAACGCTGCACCGAAATAGTGAAGCAGGATTTTAGATTGGTATGCCTGTTTCTTTTTTAATGGCTAAGATCGGCTGTTTCTTTAATCAGGGTGTTTTATTAATTCTCAATGATCAAGGACAACTGGATCCAGTTCAACCATAGAAAGGTTTGCCAACTCCAGGGTTGAACCTGTGACCTTCTGATTATGAGTAACCAATATAACCACAAAGCTACAATACCTGGTTTACTGGTTTGTCTATATGAGTATGAGATCTAGCTTAGAGAGCGGGTATGGATTTTTTTTAATGATTGACTAAAACAAAATTCACTTACAATTAGAAGTAATGTTGACTATTGTAGTTAGTTGATATTTTGTGCTACTTTGCTGAGCTTTGCAGGAAAGCTTTGGTGGAAACTCTACTATTAAATACAAAAATGAAAAACTTGTCTGTGTTTTGTCAAAACAGCTTATGCATAATATAGCTTAACCTTAATACCAGGTTATGTTTTGTGTATATTTATGTTCTGGAATTTTACATTTACTCGAGAATTAGATTACTAATAATTAGCATTGTGATGCATCAAAGCCACAAAATCAAAACAAAAGTTTTAATCAGGACTCAAAATATAATTTCTGGAGGTAAAGGTAATTTCTGGAAACAAATAATCAAGAATTTAACATTGAACCATTCACAAATAAGCAACACACCAGATGTCTGATTGGATTAAGTCAAAGATAAGCGATAGTAACCATATTTATTGACAAACAACAGCAATAAAGTCCCAACGCAATACAGATATACTGACAACAATTAAGATGATATCGCAAGAATACTTTTTTGGAAAACTGATTAAGCAGTGTGGTTAGATGGTGAGGATAATATTTTCCGGATAGAATATATTAGAAATGAGAGTTTTTTTAACTCCCAAGAAGGGTCCAGGGGAAAAAGGGGCAAAGTCCAATTTTTTTTTCAAAATGAGTTTTAAATGCAAAAATATTCTTCTTCTGATGTTAAATATGGCAGTATATTTGTTCTGGGGTACATCTCATTGACATTGAAATGTAAGAATAAAGATTCATGGTGCTGGGGAAGAAGGGGCCAAGTCACTGCAGTTCTAAGGAAGAAGAAGTCAAGTCCAAGACTAAAGCACTTGAACTTAAAATATAAAATATGTTTCCTGAAGAATTTTGTTTTATGGCATTTCCCCCTTTTTCCCCTGGACCCTTCATAAACAATCATCCGACCTCTACCTGTATAAGCAGATCATCGATTGGTTCAGTCTTGTAAAACAGTATTTAGTTTCAACCGATTCGTTCACAATGCAAGCCTTGGCAACATAGGAGACATAAGTCTAAAAAAAGAACTATGAGTAATAATAAGTTATATAATAGGAGAAATAGTCTTTGTAAGCATATATTGTGATGATTCATCATAGTAAAAGCGAGTGTTACTTACCCACCCCTGTGGCCATTGAAAACCTATAGGCGGTCTTTGGCTTCTCCAACCATGTGCCACCAGGATCCTCTGTCTTCTGCTAGCTCTAGTTCTGCTCCCATCCTTCTTAGGTCCTTCATAACCTCGTCAACCCAATGGTCTCCAATTGTGACCAGGTTCAAATCTTGAAACCTAGAAATTAAACTCTTAAAATTTGATTCCAGCCTCAGTAATTAGATTAATATCTTTACAGTTCCTATACGTGGGTAATCTACTAAACAACATATGATTCATTAAGAAGAAGATAAATTTTTCTCATATTAAGCTTATTGACATTTAACATTAAATATAACTTATATTTAACATTCCATAACACAGTTATCGAGGTAATATTAATTTATAATTACTTATAAATATATTAATTGAAGATAATATGTATATATAAAATATATGTATATATATATATGTATTAATAAAATAAAATAATGACATTACTTTTATACAATACCCTGCAGTATTGTGTAGTTATACAAAAGGTAAGTCATACTGATACACTTGTTACGAATACAATAAATACCAATCACCGTTAATTGACTAAGATTACTACAGAACAAGCAGTGAATTTGTTATTATTTTTCTATATTGAGTCCAAGATAATTTATCTGTCAATATCACTAAGCTGTACCGGAAGCTCGGAAAATCTAAAGTCGAGACAAGAGATCAAAAATACAATTTATGAATTTTACACTATTATCAGATTGTGACTATTTACTAAGTACTAAATAACCAATCGAAATACTAATCCATCCATTTAAACATCTTAAATAAATATTTGTCAAAAAAACTGTACGTTTATAGTGATTTTAACAAGCAAATTTTGGTCCTTTCAAACCGGATAATTGAGTGGAGCGGGGAGCGTGAGTACATTGTTGCTCTCAACAATGCTGCTCGCCCCCACTTCCCCCACCGCCCGCACCACCCACCCCTCCTCGTATATATCTAGAGTTCCGCCACTCTAGTGTACTCCGACACCATGGTATCCCGTAGCTCCCCCGTCACCGCTTCCGCCGTCGTCGCTACAGTCGTTGTCGTCCTAGTGTGTCTAGCGTCCTCGGCTTCCGGTGAGCAACAATGGTTATTTTAGTTCCTAAAATGTGCAAAATGTCAAACGTATTTGAAGTTAAGTTTTTATACCTACGCAGCACTCAATATGAATAAAAACTGCAAAAGTAATTAACACATTAGTCGCACACGTACACCTTCGTCATCAAAACAATCAAGACTCGTCTACAAAATTTTTCACGGCGAGAATAATATTTTGCGTTATTTTAAAAGAGGATTTTTATTCATATTTCAAATGTTTTTTTTCGATTCAGCCCAGTCTAATTAAAATTTCATCTATCAAAACAAAGAGTGCTAAAATGATCGACTATCAATTTAGCACAAAAACGAATTATTGCTAAAGCTTGTTAGTATAAGTGGTTCAAATCTAAACAAAACAAAGCAGAAAATAATAATTTTTAAATCTACTAAAAATGTATCCAAAGTACAAGTGGAACCTGGTTAAAATTAAAGTCAAAATTAAATTTCCAGAATTGTTATATATACATTGTACAAAATATCATTGCCAAGTAAAGTTTACTTGGGCAACAATTTTGGAAAATAGTAATACTACTTATAAACCCCATTTACAAATCAATACTAATACTCCGTTTTACAGTTTCTATAAATCCCTTTTTTTAAATAAAATCCCATTTAGTGTGTTAAATTTTGAGTTCAGGGGTGCTCAAAATAGAATCTCATGTAATCAAACATGCCTAAGATTATTTTGAATCAAAGATATGTTGCATAACTTTACCGTATCAATAACTTTACTCACATCGACCCATTAAAAATCATTCTTTTTTCAACTAAATTTTATCTGGTAATTTATCTTTATTCCTTTTCTTAAACTTTATGAACTGAAAGTTCTCTGTGGTTGCTACAAATCTCCGACGATTTAAAAGGCTTTTCAAATCAGTTTTACATTTAACTACATTACATTTTACATTTTTACATTAAACTCGTAAAAAGTGCATAACAATACATATTTATATGAGGCATGCAAATCCTATTCATAGTTCGCATAAAGTTATAAAACAAAAACCAACGGAGAAAATATAACAAACTCCAAAGATAAACTGTAGACTTCTGTTATTGGATTGAAAGACAATAGTACATTTCAATTGTAAATCTGTGGGAATGCGTTTAAAAGTTTATTTTCCCATCAAACAAAAGAGTCATGGCAATAGAAATTTTTAACGATGACAGTTTTAAAAGCCTTTTAAACAAGGGAGTGCAGAATCAACTTTTCATACGAGGGTTTAATGAGCACTGGAATATATAAAACCTCATACAAAACTAGATGAAAATTTTCTTTAAACAATATATTGCGATATAAATTAAAAAATTGTGTAACATATTGTTAATTAATAATTTTTTCGTACCGATGGTATTCAAAATATTGTTAATTTAACGAATATTCTCTACTTCTACATTTTATGAGTTATATTTACGCTAATTATTGAAAATAGCAGCTTTTAAAGTATGATTTTTATCATAAATATTTAGTAAAAAATATCTACTATATATGTACAGACAACTTTTTACTTTGGGATTATTTAAATTAAGTTATTGGGATCACACCAATGACACATCATTCAATAAAAGTATGTTCGACAAAATTTGTTAAGTATTGGAGGAATATAAAATAGAGTCTCTTTATTCCAAAGTGGTTTTCTGAGTGAATAGGATTGAACTTTAAGGCCTTCTTATCTATCTTAACTATCACACCTTTATACGTTCTTATCAGTTTTCTTCAATTCTTACCTACACCGATTGTTAAATTTACTTTTAACTTCTTCAAGCTTTTATAAACAGTTTATTATTTGCTAACAAATTCTAGGATTTGAACCGTTGTTTTTTATGATAAAACACGATTTCAAAAACCATGCAACAGAAAAATTCGTTTTCAATTTAGTTTTAAGTGCAAAATACATATTTAATAGAGTGCACTTTTCATTGGCAAATGTAACAAATTCCTCATGAATACCAATTTTATACAAATAGTTTTAGCGAATGATCCAAATAACAGTGAATAAGCTATTACCGTAGGTCTCATGGCAAGACGTAGATCAACAACCAAATTTTCCGTTTTGATGTCCCCAGATTGCAAAAAAAATACCCGTTCTTATCCTTATACTTATGTGTGTGTCCTTTACCACGACAACTCGAGTAAAAATTATCAGATTTCAATGAAATTTGCTACAGACGTATAACCTACTTTTATTCTAACAGGATCACGGACCAGCATGTTCGGACTATGGGAACTGGGTTTTATGTGGTGTTTTACGGGGGCAAAAATTGCGTTTTCTCATTATGAAATGTAGAATTTCTCGATTTTTCTCCTAACCACTTTTTAGAGCTGACAAAAAAATATATTCTATATCTTGAAGTGTTTTGTACGGTGTTTGGTTGCGGAGAAAATTAGAAAACATGTAAATTTAATTCCCATAACCTTTTCAGTACACACAGCAACATGTAAATTGCATTTTTGGAAATCAACCATCAAATAACTCATACCGCATGAATAAAAGTCTTATAAATAAGTCAATAAATTTGAATAATTTTTTATAAACTTTTGCAGATAAATTTTTTTCTTCGAAACCATCATGGAAACTATAATTGAACAATTACTATTATTTTACAAAAAACACACACTTTATTCCCCTTCTTTTCACAGCAAACCCAAGTACGCGTAAAACATAATGCTATAACTAGGGATTAAAGCTGCAAGGTTTAAGGAAATATTTATGAAAATCCATTAAAATAATTTGAAACAATTTCGTCTCCAGGTTTGCTTCGTTGGGTGTATTTTAATTATTTTAAAGTCCCAAATTCAATTGGCTACAACCACAATTTCTAGGTCTGTTTGTAAAGTTTGTTTGTGCGGCTGGAACCATTCCTCATCTGGACATGTTTGGATAAAAAATTACTTGGAAAGCTTTGCTTTGATAAATACATCGCGATCAAGGCTTGTTAAATACTTTTATCCACGACATGTTTATACTTATTAACACATTATTATGTTAGCTGTTTAAAACTATCATAAGTCCACTTTCGACGAAACTAAAAGATCAATTTCCAGTTTAGAAAATTCGTTTAAAAGGATATTGTAATTATAATAATAATACACTTAAATCCGTAATGTACTTTTTCTAAAGGTTCTTACCTCTTGTTCTGTTTGCTAAGATAAGATGAAAGAGAATTTTAACAATTTGAATCATTGACTTAATAATTTCTAGTCATTTAATTCTATATTAAACTGTGAATCCAAAAACAAGGTAATATATTAGTATAAACACGCATAAGATCGAAATGGAATATAATTGGAGTATAGGAAAGTTTTTTTTTTTTTGTGAAAGTTAGTTTTTCTCATTTTTGATTCTCAAAAAATAGAATTCCCCAACTTTTCTCTTAGCCATTTTGTAGAGCTCAAAAAACATATTGAATTGTTTTTGTACGATTATTGGTTACGAAGACAATCATAAAAATTGTAAATTTAAAATTCCCATCTTATTTTTATAGATAGTAAATAAACTGGGATAGTTTGTTGGTTTAGGGAAATATTTTGATCTAAATTAGCAAATATTTGTCTAGGTTATACTTGGTTATTAAAATGTAATTAAAACACACTTAATAACCTTTCATATACAGCAAAGTATCGATAGTTAATGTCATTAAAAAAAGTAAATCTGAAAATTTTAAGGGAAAATTATAATATGTAAAATTAACCAGGTAGGGTTAACATAAATTCGCTTAGTCCGCAGGTTTGCAGCAGTGGGGAGTGTTTTAATGTCTATCAATAAAGTGCTTACCATTGTTCATTATGTGTATACCTTGCAACTGTTTGTTTTTATTCTGTCACAAACTATTACTTTTACTGTAAGGTTTACTGGAGGTTATATTGTTTTGGAACCATTCCAGTAGCTAATCTGTCTGTAGAAAGTATTAAAGATGACACTCGTGTTGTAACCTATAAAAAAGGATACAAAATGGACTTCCTGGAGAAAACAGATCGCTTCACCTAGATTGTCACATCGAGTAGGAATCTCTTTAATCAGCATTAGTCATGAAATACTTCAATCAGTTATACCAACTAAAAAAACAAACAACAATTCTATAAATTATATTTCTCTTTATACATTCAATCTTCGCTAGAACTACGACGGTATCTTTATTGTGATTGTATCAATAGGTAGTAGATTGTTACTGTTTTAACAGTTAAGATTTAAAAGTTTTTAATAATTATGTTTACATTGAACCGTTCCATGTACAAATATTAGTAGGTATACTGTTGTAGTGGTAAATAATTGAGCAAATAATTGACAGTGCCAGTTAAACGAATTAGATTTAAAATCAAATTAGTTGACTTAACGATTAGTTGTAGCTGTTGTTGTTTGCTATTTGAAAACTTGATTAAGATTAATCTTTAAAACTTCATGTTCTATACAATATGTTGTTATTGTATACCTGATTTTCTGTCTGTCTGTACCGTTGATAAAAACATACCTCAATTCTGTGAAAAAGTCCAAAAATAATATTCAAGAACCCTTAAGGACGGTGGAAATAATTTTACGATAAAATAATTGTATAAATACTCAAAATCTTTATTTATAGAAACAACAGGGTACAGTATTTTGTCTTTAAATCTGTTGTTGCCAATAATCATTTTAACAGCAAAATGTTTCAAAACTAAAGGAAGTAGTTATTATGACAATGAAATCAGTAAATCAACCATATAGTAGTTAGACAGAAAACTGTAAATAATAGTAAATGATTAAAAATAAATTGATAGGTATTAAAAATAATAGTATACAGTTATTTAGGATAAGGACGCAGTTGAGTTGTGTTTTAATCAAAATATTAACGGAAAATCTGTGTGGGTAAATATATCTTATAGTGATATATCCTAAAGATATTTATGTGGCGAAATATATGTTAACTAAATTGTAAACTGAAATGTTCAATGTTGATTACAATGGAATATAAATAGAAAAATGAATAATAATATAAATGCAAC